GTTTTTGACGCCAAATAACGCTGTAAACCCATGAAGCATAGCAAATTTGACAAGTCTAACACTTTTATTAAGAAAATTAAAAGCTCAAATCCTTACATAGATCATGAAAGTTTCGAGCCCTATCAATATGTCTTACCTCTACTTGTGCCTTATAACTATAGGACTCATAACTTTATGTTTCCCGTCGGAGTCAGACCAAACCAACTGTCCAAATACAAAATCTCTAGACTCTACTTTACTCATAGGGTGGAATGTGACTACGAATTTCTTCTCTTCACCCATTTTTTTGAATATCAATGTCTCCGGTTTAACCGATATCGAGACTCCAGTAGGTGACTTGATAGTGAAAGCAGCATTGGATGGTCAAAAGCTATTTGCCATTGATCCTATGACTGTCAGATTCATACACACATGCCGCCCAAAGCAGTGGACTAACCAAAAGCAGTTTGTTTTCAAAGTATAATAAAAACTCGAAATGCAGGAATATAATAAAAATTTCTTAATTAAGGTGAAATCCAATGGATAAAAGACTCTGAAATTTACCGGTATCAAGGTTTCCAATGATGGTGTCTTTCCCAAACCTTGCCTTCTTCCAGATTGCTTCCGAAGGAATAATCCCGTCTCTTTTCAATCTCAAAAATTCCCATGAATGAGTTGTGTGCAGTTTCCTCGGCTTGTTTGGGAAAACAGAAATCACATCCAAACGTTCTACGTTGAATCAAAACAAAAAGAATAAAAATCTAGAAAAACAGAGGAAAACAGAATAACCGCATGCAGGAATTAAACTGCATTGTGCATACTTGCTAACTGCACAGCTTCCTCCTCATCCAGGACCGCGACAAAACCATTGATGGAATGAGTATATGAGTAAAAAATCTTGTCCCTAGCAATCTCAGCACTGCAATAGTAAAGAGAAACCAATGCATCAAACTGTAAAATCATAGGAATATCTCTTCTCCTAAGGAAAGCAGCAGAGAATCTGATGCATGGAAGATAGAGGTTGAATAAATAGAAACTAAGAACTCTGTAAAATTAAAGATGAAACCGAGAAAACTTCTCTGTTTCATGGAAGATAGGGGTAGAATATACAGAAATTAAGAACTCCTTAAAATTAAAGATGGAACCAAGAAAACTTAAGTTTTGAACCTCAAGTTTATTCTCAAAAGCTAATCTAGGGTTCTTAGATTAACTATATATAATTTGAACTTCTAATAAGCTACAAATTCTAATTCTAATTAAAAGTCACATGCTACCCACACGTCCTCCTAAAATTAAAACTTAGACTCCAAATAAAACACGTTTTGATTCCTTTTCTTGCTTAATTTCTCTTCCATCTAAGTAAGAGCAGGTTGACGCTCATGGGTAGTCGCCTAAGCACTAAGAAGCTCCAATCATGCTACTTCAGTTATATATATATATATATATGCTTAACACATGCAAGTGGAACATTGTTTTCGATCAAGTCAGGGGGAAAGAAGCAGGGTAGAGGAATTGGTCAACTCATCAGGCTCATGACCTGAAGATTGCAGGTTTGAGTCCCGCTCCCGCCTAATCACTGGAGATGCTGGACTAAGATTCTGCTCTTTTTTGATTGCATCCTAGGTAAGTCTTTTTGCTCCCTCCCCCCATTATTGATGCAACTCAATAACCACAAAAAGGAAATCTAATTCTAACATGATCAACTTTAAAATGAGCAAGCCGTGCAATGAAGGCTATAAAAGTAGCGAAGAAAAAGGGCAGGGCCTGAATTCAGACCAAACTTAATGGAAAACAAATAGCCCTAAAACTAATCATTAAAAAGAACTCTATGCTTCCGCATCAGAAGCCAATTCCTAAGGAAAAACAGAAACAGAGAATTCAATTTCAATACCTTCCGACGACAAAGCTCAGAATCTTGTAATGGGAAGTTGTAACTTGATTGAGTTCAAGTGAGGTTGGCTCTGGCCCATGTGTGTGTTCTCCCAAGTACACTACATAAGGCTGGAAAACAAGAAAAACAGAGAATTCAATTCAGAGAGAATCGGATACATTGTGGAAGACAACCCAGAATGAGTTTTGAACAAAATAAATACACCTTTTGGATGGCAAAAGTGAGACTGAGAATAAGAGAGAAAAGTACTAGAGTGAAAAGAATCGTCATTGTTGATTCTTAGGTTTGTGAGGAGAAGATTGTTTTTGTTGATTAGTTTTGTGAAGTGTGAAGAGAAGAAGATGAAATAACTAGTGCGAACAGCGAAAACCCCAGGAATAGCAAACTGCCAAACCCCAGGAATCCATTCCACAGGTTTTTGGAAGTATTCCATACTCCACTAAAAACAGTTGTTTTTTACCATTCCGATTTTTCCATTTTTGTGAATGATAGCAGTATAGGACAGCTCCATTTCTTAGAGGAAATGTTGAGCACTTACATGAAAAACCCAAACACCAAGCCAGAAATCCCACCCCGTGATTCTGAGAAATCTAAGGGTCCTCCATGCAGTGGGATCAGTCTCCTTTGTATCCAAACATATGAGATATGAAAATCCTATATCAACGGAACAGCAGCGGAAATCATCAATTCAATTAAAGGTGCAAAGGCGAAAATTTTGCTAGAAGCATACGGGAGGGAAAGACTGTAGAAGGAGAGAATAATTTGGGGTTGGGGGTTGGCATGGGTCGGCCCTAGTGGGCTGACAAGAAGCATCAAACACTTGGTGGAAACTGGCAGATGGAAGAAAAAAATGTCAAGTGGAAATTTGGGAGATAAAAACACAAAATTTTTGTTAGCATCT